TGCACACGAACAGACATACATACACATTGACTCTCTCAGAAACACAAAACATAAAAAATGTAAATGTATAAAATGAAACTATTTATTTTGTAGTTTATGAATTTGTCAATTGTCCTAGTTTGCGTCTTTGCTGCTGTGATAAAAACATTGACCAAAAACAACTGGGGAGGAAAGGTTTTATGTGGCTTACAGGTCACAGTCCATCATCAAGGGAAGCCAAGGCAGGACCTCAAGGTAGGAACCTGGAGACATACAAAGACCATGGAGGAAACTGCTTAGTGGCTTGCCCTCTCTCTCTCTGGGCTGGCTCAGTTACCTTTCACATACTTCCTAGGCTCACTGCCCACAAAAGATTGGGTCCTTCTACATCAATTAACAGTTAAGAAAATGGCCCACAGGAGGTAGAGCCAACAAAGCTGTGAGTCACGGTATTTAGGATTGTGCACTGGTCTCTGAGGAATAAGAAGAGGTCAACCTCAGCTCTAAGAGAATGAGAAGAAAAGTATGAGTTAAACTCACACCGTACAATAACAACCACACCACAGTGACCATTAGGATTTTCTTACATTTATTATAAGAGTCACGATGGAGTGAGGAATTTTATCACTACTGCAAGTGTTTCCAGCTACCACCCCAGAAGAGGCAATTAAGGCAGCACTCACTAACCTTGCAGTCTAGTCTCCATATAACTGCTCCAATCCACACAGAGATTTCTTTTATTCCCACTCTAAAGTAGAGACAATGTACCAGGTCCCCTGCCCCTGCATCTGCTGTGCCTGCTGCTGAATTTGTGTGATTCAGACTCTGGGAGAGAAAACTGAACTTGCCATTCTGAACATTCTGCTCCCAGGTACACTATTTTTCTTTTGAGAAGGTGTGCTTAGATTACTGTGCACCCTTCAAGGGTGCCATTCAGATAAATGATGCTTCGGGATATCTCAGCATTGCCGCTTTTGGTTGTCCTGGACCAAAACTCACTGGGTACATCCCAAGATCCAGCACCACTTCACAATTGTGATGTTATTACTTTTTGTGACACTATTCTAGCATTGCAGGGCCTCTGGCCAGTGTTCTAAGATTGCACAGGTGGTAATGAAAAAATTACCACATTTCCACATTGATCTGGATGGCATTCCTTTTATACTTGTTAAAAGCCAGGTGTGCAATTATGAAAGATAATTATAATTCAGAAGGAAATGTTTAAGGATAAAGTAAGTTTAGAAAATCCATGTTTGAGTTTCATTATCAACTGGCAAGTTCTAACTTAAAAGCAGGAAAACAGAGAACCTACCATCTTCTGTCACCATCGTGCTCTCTCACCTTTGTCCCATCATCATCATCCCCTCTCCAACATCCTGTCATCATTATCCTCTCACCTTCATCCTGTCTCACCACAATTCTATCTCTGTCACATACTCTCACCAGTGTCCTCTCTCTCCATCACAATTTCCATTATCTTCTCTAATGAAGAACTGTGAAGATTCATAAACCCAGGTTGCTCTCTACCTTCCAGTCTATCAATGCTATCCTTTGTCAAGAATGCATACTTTGCATTTTGTCAATATGCAACTGTGTACGCCAAATATTTATGTCAAAGTCCTGCTTTCATCAAGTCTCCATTTGGTTCTCAGGAAGCTTTCCCAGCACCTGACACACAATAATCTTATCTCATGCTTGAGTCTCACAGCTTACTCCAAAAAGTCAGCACATTAAATAAAATAATAAAAATGTGTGGAGGAAATGAAAACATAACTATGCATTTCAGAACATCATTTATGGGCTATTTTGTTTCTAGCAAACATGGAGTAGTTGGAATTACACTTGTCCTCCTGCATCTATCAACAGCATCAAATATTGGGAAAAACAAATAAAACAATATTTTCAGAACATTATACAACAAAAGACAGTGTCTACTGATTTGTGGTAAGCCAATCCTGTCAACTTAATTATCGCCCAAGATCTGGGTCTTTGGGGAGTTTCCGCACTGTGTTCCAGAGAAGGGTGAGGTAAGGAGACAGAACTCAAGAACCCAAGGGATGGAACTGGTTGGACTTCGTGGAACAGAGCATCAATGAAAATAGACTTACTTGCAGAGAGTGAGAACTCTGGAAAAGACCACAGGGTCCACTCTCAGTATCTGCAGAGGATGAATTGGTGCATGAGTGTGAGGACTAGATAGGTGCACACACAGCTGTGTGTATGTCTGTTCCCACAAAACAGATTGGAAAGGTGCAGAATTTAGCACTGAGGCACTAAGAAGCAGGTTTGGAGTAGGGTGACATGAAGCCAGGTGCTCAGGGAGCAAGTTTAAAGAGCTTTTAAAAGGAAGTCTCACATTCTTAATTCCTCCCCCCATCAATCTCATATTCATCTCCAAGTTAATAAAAGTGAAGAGTGGCACATGAGACTTAGTGCCTCCTTCAATTCTCACCCTACAACCCCACTTCCATGCAGATTGTCCTGTCCAGGCAGATGCCCCATGTTTGTAGCCAGAACAGGAGCTGTTTCCTTACTCTGGTACCTTGGATTCTCTCCCTGTCTCATACACATGTCAATCATGATCAGAATATGAATAATTAGTGTGTTTGGTAGACATTTTAAAGATTTATTTGTATTATTTTTTAACTGTGTTTGGGGTATGTGTGCACATGACTGCAAGTGCCAACAGAGGCTGGAGGCATTAGATGTCCTTAGAGCTGGAGATACAGGCAGTTGTAAGCCACTCAATATGCTGGATCCTCTATAAGAGCAATATGCACTCAACCATGAGCCATCTCTCCAGTCCCAAGATTTTATTTTTCAATTTTCATCATGTGTATACGTGAGTATGGAGTTATGAATGTCTACGTTAGTGCAGTGCCGGGAAACAGCATAGAATTCCCTGGAGCTAGAGTTACAGGTGGTTATGAGCCAACTGCAAACATAGGTACTGGGCACCAAACCCAGGTCCTCTGCAAGAGTAGTAAAAGGGCTCTTAACCACTGACCCAGCTCTCCAGCCCAAAGAATTTGAATAATTTGTTGTAGACTGAAGCAACAAAGACTTACCTTTAAAAAGACTCCAGTAAATGAAATTGCACCAAAGGACATCCTGGTAAAATGGTTGACCACATGAGACTTAACATGAGGCCCCCGGGGAGGGGGCATGGATGGGAGAAAGGGTCTTAATTTGATTAAGAACTGTTGTATGAAATGTGCAAAAGTTCAATAAAATAGTTTTTAAAAATTTAAAGCCATGTTAAAAATTATCAACTTGTTTCCACATAATTTATTGATGTCTTAGAAATAAAATCAAGACTATTTATAGGAAAAGAAAATTAGCCAGGATCAATAGGAAAAAGTAAAATTTACAATGTCTGGTAATGCAATGAAACAGGGAAATGGAATCTATATTTAAGATTAAAAGAGATCCACAGCTGACACAGATGTAGGCTGCCAGAGGACATTAAAAACATGATTATGACTGTACTTCATACTGCCAAGAGTGGAATAGAGAGATAGAATGCACAAAAGACTCAGAGCAGTGGTAGGAACTATTAGGAAAGTGCAGTTAATTTAAGAGGAAAAAAAGATTTAACAAATGAAGAATGCATTGGCGAGCTCTGAAACAGATCCATGTCCTCTAGTACACATGCAGTTTGAGTCATAGGGTAGAACAGGGAGAGAAAAGTTTAAAAATAATAGGTTAAAATTGTCCAGATTGGATGACAGCTGTAAACCTGAGACTCAGTCAGCAGAGATGAACCTCAACAATAAGAAATAGGAAAATAAAAAAAAATGTGCCATGACATATCATAATAGAATTAGTCAGAAATCATAGAGGAGGGGTAGTGAGATGGCTCAGAGGGTGAAGCACTTTCTGGGCAAGCCTGATGACCTGAGTTCAACTCCTGGCACTCATGTAAAGGTGGAAGGAGAGAAATAATAACAACTTATCTTCCGACCTCCACATATTACCTGCGGCACACACATACACCCTCCATCTGCACACACACATACACAAACAACAACAACAATAATATAATAATAATAATATTTTAGAAGTCATAAGGGAAATACCCCAAGGAGCCATCCTGAGTGGTTGCAGGGAGTGTGGACAAGGAAGGAAGACATATTATATACAGGTAGAATAAAAAAAAAAAAACTGTAAATGACAGTTCCGGCCAACCTAGGCTACATGGGACTCAAAGAAAAACAAAACAGAACAAAACAAATCCAGTTATTAATGACAGTAGTCTTCTGCCCAAAAATCATACAAGTTAAAAAAATTGTGGTGTACATTTTAAGACTGAAAGAAGAAAACAGAACAAAACAAACGATAAGCAAGATTTCTATACAAGCAGAACTGTCTTTTGAAATAGGTAAAATAAACTCCAAGTGTACAAAAGCTGAAAAAAAGTCCTCTGCCATTAGAGCTGCACTATATGGGATGTGGAAAGAAGGCACGCTCATTGCAAAACTGTTCAGCAATGTACATCATTACAGAAGTGAAAATTTCAAACTCAGTGAGGGTACACCACACTCATGTATTAGAATAGCTAAAGTTAAAAAGGTAGCTCACAGGCATTGTCAAGTCCATGGCTGAGCAGAATTTTTCTACCCTGCTGGCACAATTATATTTGATAGGACTGAGGATTCTAAAACATGAAGCTCCATACACTTACCAAGTGATTTGGCCATCTACTCCAACATAGTTACCCAAGATAAAAGCAAAACACACATCTACACAAAAATGTCAGCACACACATTTCTAGAACTTCATCAAAAAATAATTTTTATTTACATTATTCTGCGTGTTCTTCTGCAAGAACAATCAGCGTTCTTAACCCCTGAGCCATCTCTCCAGCCTCCACCATCATGTTCCTTACAGTCTACCTAATCAAGGTTTAACCAACAAGCAACGTTACTAAGTGACGTCCCAGTTGACATGAACTGACAAGCACAGCCCCAGCAGCATACCCCTTCCTTGTCTCTCTTTAGTGCATATGAGGGGTCGGGCAGATCGCTTCACCCAGGCATCCCGCAAAGTAGGCGGGTCGCTCAAAAATTCTTCTCACATTAGCAGTGAGAACTCCGGCGTCACCCCGACTCATTATTTTCCTTATTCATATATATATAAGGCATAGAACTTCATTTTTAATGGATCAAAATAGCCCAAAAGTCCATCAACGACCAAATGTTAAAAGAAAATATAGCTCTCCTGGAGATATTCAACAATAAAATAAATGAGCCTTTGTCATGTTCAATCACAGAAGTGACTAGCAAAATAATTATACTGAATGAGAGAGGTCAGGCAGAGGTGAATATATATTGTCCTCTTCTGTTTCTATAAATTTTACAAAATGAAAATATTTGGAATTTGTGTGTATGTAAGTATGTCTCTCTGTGTGTTTGCATTCGTGCATGTGGGTATACATGCATGTGCTATGGTGTGTGTGGTGTGTGTGCGGTATGTGTGTGTGTGTGTGCTCATTCGTCTGTGTGGTTACACATGCATGTACTATGGTCTTGTGTGTGTGCTCATTTCTTGTGTGGATGTACATGCATGTGCCATGGGGTGTGTGTGTGTGTGTGTGTGTGTGTGTGTGTGTATGTGTGTGCTAATTCCTCTGTGTGGCTGCACATGTATGTACCATGGCCTTGTGTGTGTGCTCATTTCTTGTGTGGATGTACATGCATGTGCCATGGTGTGTGTGTGTGCTCATTCCTGTGTGTGGTTGCACATGCATGTGTGATGGTTTTATGTGGGTGCTCATTTCTGTGTGCGTGTGTGTGTGTGTGAGTGTGGAGGTCAGAGAAAACCCTTCAGCTGTTGGGTCTTGTTTTTCCAACTCGCATAAGACAGGGTCTCTTCACTGCAGTGTGAACCAGCTTAACTGGTCACTAATTTCTGGAGATGCTCCTGTCTCAGCTTCCTGTGTTCCTGTAGGGACATGCTGGGATTACAGATGCTTGGATTTCAGAATCCAGCTTTTAGATAGGTTCTGGAGAGCTGAATTCAGGTTGTCAGCCTTGAACAGGAAGTGCTTTCATCCACTAAGCTATCTTTCCAGTTTATGGAAAACTGTTTTCAATGACAGAATTAGAAGTTGCGGGAGGCATAAGCTGAGAAAGAACGTGGGAATTGCCAAGGTCGTGCAGAAGCCTTCAGGAGGCATGGGCATGTTTTCAGTCTTCAGTGTGGGAATGCTTTCAGCACATGACATGAACCAAAATGGCAGCACTCACAAACTTCCCAAGCCCACTGAACTGTCAGGGGTCATGATACCTTGACAATTGCCTATGCCACAGGCATTTAGTCATATGTCCCAGTCCTTGTTGCAATTTATTTTCCTTTTTGATTTTCTGTTCCTGGATGCATGGAGAACAAAATAGAGGGGAGACTCAGAGGACTCCAACATTGGCTCTACTACTATGTATTCACATAAAATAATAAAAGTAATAAATAAAAATTTTAAAAATATTTACATATTTATGTATTAAAATTTTGTGTGTAGGAATATTTTCCCTGCATGTATGTAAGTGCACCTATGCATGCAATGCCTGCAGAGGTCAGAAGAGGGAGTTGGATGCCCTGGAACTGGAGGTACTAACTGTCGTTAGCTCCTTGTGGGTGCTGGAAATTGAACCCAGGTCTTCTGCAAGAGGAGCCAGTGCTCTTAACCTCTGGACCATCTCTCTGAACCCTGTTTTCTGGATTTTGACATCGTTTTGTGTGATATATTTACTGGCTCCTAAAGGGGACTTAGAATTTTCCTAACCATGTGTCTCTACCACTAACCAGCTACTAAAGGGGGTTGACATTTTAAGATGGCTAGACCTGGAAAGGTCATGTAAATTTGAAGAATTCAGAACCTAATTTGTGATAACACAGATCCCAACCCTAACCCAAAGGAAATATTTCCAGGTACTAGTCAAGCTGTTCTGGGGCAACCGAAGCAGCAGGTAGCAAAAACTAGATCATCTTGTTTGGGCAGAAGGCTGGAAATGTGAATTATGCTAGGTCTTAATGTCTACTCTTTCTGCTCTGCATCTCCAGGCCTGTTTTCTTAGAATAATATCCTTTCCCTTCTTGAGATTCCTTTGCTCCAGGTTTGTCTGCTTTTGTTTCTGCCGCATTATGCCCTGGATGCTTCTGCTTAACATAGCTTTGTTCCTTATCCTTGAGATTATGAATATTTAGTCCAAGACTGCATGTGATAAATTATAATGTAGATTTTCTAATCCAGGCAGCCTAACTTATAGCTCTATTTAAAAGAGGAAATGAACCTGAGCACTATAATAATAAAAAATGAAAAGAGAACCTGAAACACAAACTAATTATTCATACCTGATCAGAAAGCAACCGAGCTACATCAAGAATATGAATAGAATTAAACTTCAACTCAACAAAGAGATGTTTGAGTTTCATATCAGACACAAACCTCCAAAAAGAAATCCATATGAAAATTTCTATGAAATGATAAAATTTATGCATCATTGGCATAAAAGAAAGAGAAGCAGCTCAGGTCAATGGCACTGACCAAATATTCAACATGATTATAGAAGAAAATTTCCCTAAATCAAGGAAAGATATATCTATACAGATATAGGAAGCACACAGAACACCAAATAGACAGGACCAGAACAGAAAACCCCCATGGCATATCATAGTAAAAACACTAAATGTACAGAACAAACACAGAGTACTGAAAGTTGCAAGTCAAATTACATAAAAGAGGAAAATATCAGAATTTCAGCTGACTTTTCAATGCAAACTATAACAGCCAGAAGAATCTGGAACAATGTATTTCAGGTTCTAAATGATCATAGATGTCAACGGAGAATACTATACCCACCAAAACTGCCTATCATAGTAGAAAGATAAAGAAAAAACTTCCATGATAAAAATAGACTGAATAAATTCATGTCCACAAAAAGAGTCCTACAGAGCAAACTTGAAGCAATACAAAAGACTAAAGAGTTCTTTCCTTTTGTGAGCATTACAGGAGTAAATGAAGTTCAATCTCTTTGTGCCTTCTGACCAAAGCAAGAACTGCAAAAGGCATTTCAATGAGTCTTCTCACATTCTGAGGAAGATTATGTTCGCCAAAGTACGGTGTTTAATCTATGCCCATTTGAAAGGATGGTGTAGTTCAGGTTGTACAAGGGCACAAGAGTCAGCAGATTGGTAAAGCGGTCCAGGTTTACAGAAAGAAATATGTCACAAAGAGTGGCTACAGAAAGAAAAGGCTAACAGCACAACTGCCCATGTGGACATTCACCCCAGCCAAGATAGTTATCACCAGGCAAAACTGGACAAAGACTGCAAAACGATTTTGTAATCAAAAGCCAAATCTCACCAAGTAGGAAAGGAAAAGGTAAATGCAAGGAAGGAACCATGGGGAAGATGCAGGAGTAGAGTGTCTCATATATGACTTTCATTCATTTAAAATTGCTTAAATGAAAGAAAAAGAGGACTGAAGAAAGGAATGACCCAAGAGATTACACAAAGGGAAAAAAAATGAAGGTATAATTACAGAAACCCAAAATAGGACTAAGAACACAAACAGAGATTAAAATGACAGTCTTCCCATAGTAACTTCAAATTTGAATGGCCTTAACACCCTAGTCAAAAGACATAGATTAGTTGAATTAGCAAACAAAATTCATCTTTCTGTTGTTTACAATAAACTCATGTCAAATTCAAAAATAGGCATAACCTTTGAGTGAAAGGGTGGGAAAAATTCCAACAAATGGCACTAAAAAACAAACCAGCATTGTGCTTCTAATATGTGACAAAATAGACTTCAAATTAAAATTAACCAGAAGAGATAAATAAGGTCACTTCATTCTGATCAAGGGAAAAATTAACCAAGAAGACACTACAGTCATGAACATATATGCACAAAACTCTGGTGCATCCAGTTTCATAAAACAGTACTAGAAGACTTCAAGAAACAAATTCAGTAATAATAGGTGACTTCAGTGCCACAATTTCTTCTATTGAAATGTCAACTGGACAAAGAATAAACAGAAATCTCTGAATTAAATGATATAATGTATCAAATGACCATAACAGACATCTACAGAACATTCCACTCTATCACCAAAGAGTATGAATTCCATTCAGCAGCACTTGGAATTTTCTCAAAAACAGACCACAAATTGGGGCACAAAAAAGCCTCAAAAAAAAAAAAAAATTGAAATAACAATGCACTCTATCAGACTATAATCCAATAAAGCTTAAAATAAACAGGAAAAGATGCTTAATTATATGAACTAATGGGAATTAAATGACACATTCCTGAATGATGAATGGGCCAAAGAATAAATCAAGAAATAAATAAGTAATTATGGAAATAAATGAAAATGACAATACTACATAACAAAATCTCTGGGACACATTAAATTAGTCCAAAGAGGGAAGTTTTTATTTCTAAGCACCTACATTAAAAAATCAGAAAGACTACAAATAAATAGCTTAATGGTACAAGAATCTGGAAAAGCAAGAACAAATCAAACCCAAACCCAGCAGATGAGAAGAAATAATAAAAGTCAGAGCAGAAATAATCAAATAGAAACATTGAAAACAATAAAATGAATCAATGAATCGGAGAGCTGGTTCTTTGAAAAGATAAATAAGATAGACAGACTTTTTGCCCAGTTAACCAAAAGAAAGAAGAAATACAAATCAACAAAATCAGAGACAAAAGGAGAAACAGCACAATGGACACCAAAAAGAACATTATTGAAAACCTATACTGTATTAAATTTAAAAATCTAAGGGAACTGAACAAGTTTCTAAATTCATGGAAACCATCAAAGTAAATCAAGAAGAGATCAACAGCTTAACAGACCTATAACAAATAAGGAAATTGATATAGTAAGACAAAGCCTCCCAACTTAAAAAAAAAAGCCCAGACCTACATGGTTTCACAGCAGAATTTGTCAGACATTCAGAGGAGATCTACAACAAATGCTACTTAAATTATTCAAAAAGATAGAAACAGAGGGAGAACTCCCAAACTCCTTCTATGAATTCAGTATCACTCTAATACCAAAACCAAGAAAAGACACAACAGAAAGAAAACAGGCCCATATCCCTAATGAACGTAGGTGCAAAAATTCTCAACAAAATACTA